GTCACACTACGAACGCAGAGTCCTTTTCACATACGAACAGATTGAACTCACAAGAATTATAGTAGTATAGTCCCATGGAACACGGTTGGGGGCTCTAGGCCGGCCCGAAGAAGTTTTGAATTGTGGCTTCGGAGTTCGCATAACCGACAGAAACCGCAGCAGCAGGCGAATCTAGACACTCTACGGCCTTCAAGAGAGACGTTTCGTGGGTTTATCAGATACATGTTCTGAGCTACGTCTGAGGAACAAAAGAGTGCATATGGCAGTACTAGTAGGTCTCGGAAGGTTAACGCGCATGAAAGCGCCGAGTGGTTTCTAAAGACAGAATGTCGGCACAATATTGGAACATTGTATAAATCTAAGTTCGTTTCCCGAAGCCAAGAACATGCGCCCGACGTGATAGAACGCTGGGAAGAGAGCCAACCCAGCTGCGGCATAGATGTTGTGGGGAACATGATTTTGATCCCTTTCCTTCAATTGCATAATCACATCTACATCTTCCATAAAAATTGATGCACTTTTAAATAATGTTTTATGAGAGTCGTGCCATTTAGTATGAGATCACGGCCGACCCTATTATTAGATAGATTATAGCCTCATTGCAAAACGATGCTGTCCCTGTCCAAAATAAACTCGCGGAATTTTGATGCTTTAGCTGCCGGAGACAGCGCGAACCGTTAATAGCTGACAGAGTGAAAGAGGAGGAAGAACTCCGGAGGCGACTGAGGACCCCGAAAAATAGCGAAGTGAGACGTGAAAGACGTTTGAATATATCATAGCTGCAGACTGAAGGCAAGAAGTTTAGCCAGCGGTTAATTGCTAACCAATGGGCGCCCGTCTCCACCTCCCATGGGCGAGAAAACCCTTTGTATTCGTCGTCATCGTTCTCAGAATCATAGCAAGGATGTAATATTGGCAAATATCACTCCACTCGAGTAAAACCTACTTCGAAGTTCCACAGCCTCGAGCCTTGCACCAGACTTCTAGTGGGGATTTCCTATCGTCTAGTGAGACTAATCCTTCATCGACGTAATCTCTCTCCTATCTCACTCCGTACTAGCGATCAATTGTCCTAGCAACTTCCAGGGGTCCCAAATTTTTACCGACGGATTTTACCGGCTGTCGGAGGTTCTCTCCCTTTCAAAACCTTGTTCGGACCAATCAGGAGGGAATCCGCTTTTAGCACGAATAATCATCTTCGCTATAACCACGGCACTCTTCTTTCCACTAGTCCCTAGCCAATCTCGATGTCTGAGAATTCCGGCTATGATGGTCAATTCAGTCGACCAGGCAGGAACACAGTCGATTGGCCAGGTCGCTGTACGAGTGATCATGCTCACCATACATCATCGAAAGGGGATTGAATCGCACATGACTTCGTATTTCCACGAAGAGTGGTCGAGTACGTGCCGCTACTGCGATTCTCGTGATCCAACCAAACTCCAGACAACGACACGCACCAGGTTTTCACGGATCCATTAGCTGAATCTACGGACAATTTCTCTGCTCGTAATGTCTTGGAAGGTCTTGGTTATTCTTGGTTATTCTCCGGGTGCTCGCCTTCCATCATACCTTTTGCCGCCTATAAAATCCCCTCCAAGTCGCCAAGTCTCTTGTTCACTCACCTCCCAAGACACTTGGTAAAAGCCTAAGACAGTCCTTTTTGCATTTTCGCCATGAAGCTCTCTGCCACCTTCGCTTCTCTGCTCTCGCTCGTTTCCGTTGTCTACGCGCAACAAGTCGGTACCTACCAAGCCGAGACCCACCCTTCCCTCAGCTGGCAAAAGTGC